TTTTTATAGTTTCGTCAAAGATTTTTACAATAACCTGTATATATAAACTCCGGTCTAAATTTCGGTCTAGACTCCCAAACCGATAAAAATCGGACCGAAACCGAACTGGTCGAACCGTTAACATCCCTATGTATAACGCAGATATCGCACGTGTTCTGAGATCAGTATGTGAAATCTAAATGTCTTCCCGCGATCCACAGATATTAGCTTATTTCAAAGAATATACTGATTGGTCGCTCATCTCATTTTTAAAGTTTAGAAAAGACCTCGATAACTTCACAGGTGATAAAGCTACTGAACATTTTAATTACAGGACAGCACTCGAAAGAATTATTTTGTTGGATGCATCAAATCACATTAAAGCTAAGGAGAGTCTCTTTAGATTTGAAGTAAGTTTAATAACAAGAGACATGTGCCAAATACATAGTCTAAATTAGAATTTGGAGTAAGCAGGCTTAGTCAGCTTTGCTTGTGATAGTGGGGTCCGCCTCCCTCCAAATATATATCTGTGTACATATTGCTCCATGTTGCTACTAGGGGGTCCGCCTCACTGGTAGTTAGGCTCCGGCCATTTCATGGCGTCTAATTTATTGTCTTTGAATAATATTAGTAATTTATTTAATTTTAAAGTATTTACTGACATTATTTTTATTTGAGGGAGAGAAATCATCCAAGTCTGTAGAGAAATTTTGGACAACTACTAAAATGGAATCTATCAAGGTTATTGAACTATTATCTTTTTAGCCTATACCATCATAAGAAATTAACTTTATTATTTTATATAGTTGAATTATTCTATGTACGCGTTGGATCAAACCATTCATGAAAAAAAAGAGATACACTCAATTATAACTGATGGTACAATAGCTGACATTAATCAAGTATATCAATGCAAAGAAAATTCAAGGTATAGATCTCATTATTTGTTATTGACATTTTTGTTCATTTTCGTTTTAACACTTTTTCCGTGTTGTTCAGTTACCAGAATAATAATTTTGATGAGAGTCCGATGTATGTATACTCTTATGATAATGTCATTAGGATCTACCAAAAGAACTAATTTTTGCATTTTAATGTTTTAGGATGATCATGATGAAAGTTATGAGATAGATAATTTCTTTAAAAGTCCTTCCGAAAAAAAATCGTCCACTCTGTTTTTGCAAAAAAAGGACAACTCAGCCAAGAGACAGCAGAAATCAAGCAATGAACGGGGTTCCAACGAAGCGGATGACGAGAAAGACAAGGTACAGTTTCATATTGTTCGGATAACATGATGTTCTGACTATTCATAGCAATCAAAAGACTGAATAATTGCTAATGTGAAAATCTTTTCCAGGTCGAGTCTGAAGCATGCGACTCCATTTTTATATCCGAAGAAAATGATGATTCAGGATTTTTTTCCTTAGGTTCACAACCCATATCCTTCTGTGATACCGAAGGTCTTGCAAATTTGAAGTTTACTACTACTAAAGTTCAAGAACTACCTGGAAGAAACAAGGATGAAATCCAAAAAACAATTACAGATGGTTCCGAAAATAAACCGTTTTTAGTATCTGAGGAAGAGGTATGATAATTTTCATTGAAAATATGTTTAAAT